TAATCCACTAATGTTCAACATTTCTATTTGTTCAAACTAAAGAGATGAAGCGAACTTCTTTTTACTTTTTCAAAACATTTTTATCACGGACTAGAATGATTCTAATTAATGTTTAGTTTAATATATTCTCATTTTTTTTCTAGTTTATTGATGATGAAACAACATTGAAAAATATCAAACATAAAACTGTTAAATGTAGTTGGCACAAATCTTGTTCAGGATGTCAACTTCAATAACGAAACGACTTCTTTTTTTTGTATAGAATCGATTTTTATTTACTATAATTGATGTAATTATTTATTTTAGAAAGTTTTTTTTTGTTTAACAGAACTATTTTTACAAAAAAAAAACATGACATACTGACACGGGATGCTTGTTTAAAAAGATACAAACTTCTAACTTTGACAAAATCTTCATCTGTTCTCAGCTAAAACTCTCCTTTTTCTTGAAAGAAAAAAGGTCGTAGAACGAAAAGAAAAATTATTTCATCGTTGATTTAAAAAAAAAATAGTATATTAAACATTCGAGTTGATGAAAGACTAGTCGAAATGATATTTGTTGTTTGAGATTATATTTGATGTTGAAGGTTGTCTTGGTGAGACTAACAAATATTTAAAAGAGTTCATTTTCGTGAATCTTTCAAGCTGAGTTAAGTTGATTGTATGGAGTTTTCGAGTCAGATTTATAATATATCAAATAAATAAACAACAAAGTTTCAACGTAAAATTGTCTCTCTAGATAAGACGAATGATTCATCGAGTATCTTGAAAATTTCACTGTAAAAAAATTTTATCCGTAAATTCATTGTTTTTTTTTCTCATGCTCTTGACAATCGGCTATTTGTTAAGCTTTCTTCTCTCAGTAAAAACAGATTTTTATTCATATGAAAATTTCAGGATATTCTTTGAGATAAACTTATAAGTGTATAACCAAGAGTTTCTGGTTCAAATGTTTTTGAAAACTTATATCAAGAATTAAATTTTGATCAACGAATTCTTGAAAAGTAATTGATAAAACATGAAAAGCAAGGCTTTTTCGAACATTTTACTAAACATTAGAATAATTTTGTTGAAGATCTCCATTTCCTTATTCATTAATATAAATTGAAAATAATTTAGTTTGTATTGATGATATTGATTCATGTTGAAGATCACGCAGTCAAATTTCATCAGTTAAATGAAATGGTTCTCATTGAATTAAATAATTTGTTAAATGAATTTTCGTTTGTGTTCACTAATAACGTCAATCAGATGTGACACTGGTTAATCAACATCCGATCCTTTAACAAACATATTTAAATAAAACAAAAAGAAATTTTTTTGTGTGCGATTATTCTTACAATCGAGATTTTTTTCTTTAAATAATCTTTGATTAATTATTTGTTTATCATATTCTATATAAGTAAAATGATCTGGGAAATCAGGATTATGTAACTTCATGATCAATTTTCATATATGATGTTCGAATTATTATTTTCTTTTATTTTATAAAAACCTTTAGTAAAATGAAGTTTTGTAAATGTGAAATTCTCGATCAATAAAAAAAAAAATAAAAAAGATCTCGATATGAATAATCCTCAAGACTGTTTTCAAATTGATATTTTTTTCTTTTAATAAAAACTTTGTTTTTTGTTTGTTTGTAAAATAAGAATAGATATTTCAACAGCTAAACATTATTTACTCGAGATAAACTATTCAATATTGAAGAAGAATAAATCTTTAAATATACATTCTTACATATATATGAGAGTTAATCAAATACAGTTCGATTTAAATGAGATCATAAGAAAGAGTCTTCATTTATTATATAAGTTACTATTAAGAACGTAAAATCGAATGAAATCACATTATAAAATATTTTCTCATTTTCGTGAAAATTTTCACGCAACCATCAATTACTAATCGCACGAGTAATACTCGAAGATAGCGAGCATGAGTTTCTTTTTTTTTCGAAATATTTTGTATTAAATAAAATCATCTTATATATTGAAATCCGAATTTTTAGTAGACTTATATTTTACCTATTTGAAAGTTAGTTCGACTTGACTTTGAAGAATCTATAAAGCGAAATCAAATCTAATAGACGAACAAACAATTCTGCTTGATTTCGCCGAATCAAATTGAATCTAAATCGAGATTTTCTTATTTGTTTTTGTCTCTAGTCCATAATCGTTTGTGATTGCATGACGGAATGTTTTTCATTGACACATGAACAGTATCATTGAAGGTTGTACCTCTCTAAAAGCAATGAATGGTATTAGGGCATTGATATGTCCCATATATATTATTTTATTTACATGAATGATTTAATCTATTTATGATGATTTTGCCCTACAGAACATCGTTCATATGCTTTAAATCATAATAAAAGATTTTATTTCATAAATAGAATTAATACATAGAAATTAAATTCATATCTGTATTCGAATTAATGTAGTACCGGTTAGTTTTCTCAATTTTTTTTCGATAAATGAAACTAGAAGATTTTTGCTGATTTTTATTGATTTTCGTCGTGTAAATATTTGAGTTGATTAATTTCAACTTGAAATCTAAACAGAAGTCATCAATATTGAGATAATGCTTGTCAGTGTCGAATGCATCTATCATGTTCAAGAAGAATAACACATCAATGAAGCAAGTAAACATGATCTCAACAAATAATTTCCTATTCGAATATGTCAACAGTTTGTCAATGATTATAAAAAAGTGTTGATAATGATCAACTGGTAAGATAATGTTCTATTTGCATGAATAACGAAAAAATTTCGTATTACTGTTAAAGGATTCTTAGGTGATAGTCTGATAGATATCGAAACAAACGTATATCTATATAGGAAAATAAATTGAAAAATCTTAATTCGATTTCAAAATCATATATTATCGTATTTGATTATTTCATTCATGTCTAATAATAGCTGATCAATAGAAACTTTTTCAAGTGAAGATAGTTAGTTCTATTAATTGTTTTAAACGCAACTAAAATTTAATAGGTATACGAGTTTTCAGCACATTAAATAATAACTTCAAACAATAAGCATGAAATTTGTCTGCTGTTGTCCATAAATAATGTCGTTATTAAGGAAAACTAGTCACATATATTGTTCTCAATGACTTGTTGGTATGTAGTAGATAAAAATTTTTTATGTGTTTATTAGTGTTGATGTCTATCAAATGTTATCAGGTAAATAAACGATTTTCGTATTTTATGGATTTGATTTGAATTTTATAAATGAACTACTGTTGAAAAAAAGAATTTGCTTATCAATTTAAATACAATTGAAGAAGTAGCGTGTGACTGATCTTATAGATCAGTATAGAGTTTCTCCTTTATTCTCCAAACGGACATTTGTATATATGTGAATAAGTTAGAGAAGAAATACAAACGACAAGAGAGAATGTCTGAACCATACCAGAAGAAAAGAACGTTGCTAAATTATCTAAAGGTAAAGCAAAAAAAAATACATATATGTATAACGCATTTGCCACCTGTGCTATAAAGTAAAAACGAAGGTCGAAAGGAGACAATATTCAACATAAATGAATCATTCTATTTAAAAAAAAGAAAGAGAGAGAAAGAAATATGCTTACTACAGTATAGTACTATTCAGCGTAGTATATCTTTTTTTATTTGTTCTGCAATGATATGTCTTGATAAATGGTGTAGGTGTGGTTGAAAGTATTTTCTTCATTCACACTTATATCCACACCTAAACGCATAACCTCAACATGTCAACTATATTAGTATTTAATCAATGAAATTGAAAATTTTCGTATATATTTTAGAGATCATTATGATCATAATGTTGAACATATTTCAGTTCCAGATCTTAAACTTTGACTATGAGAAAGGAGTTGAATTAATAAATTTCTTCAATTAAAAAGAAGTAGATAAACTCAATAAAAAGAATTTATTTTGTGATGTTTAATCATAAGAAGACAAATAAGATATTCTTTAAATACATTAATTAATCAAGAAAATTATATAAAAATGATTATTGATAAATATTCTAATTCAATGAACCAATAGACAAGAATATTTTCTAAATAAAAATAAATTCAATTCAATGAAAAATTTTTTTTTCTTAAAATTATCTTCTGTACAATTGTTAGAAATAATCAATTCTACTTATTATATTTATCTGATTTAAATAGATGTTTACGCTCAATAATTCGATAGAATTTCGTGAAAGTACATTTTTTACGAAAAAAAAAAATCAGTCGAATTTTTGTGGTTTCTCTTTTTTCGTTTTGTTTATATAGCCTAACAAATGAAATTAAATCTGCTCAACAACATTACAAACAAGATTTAGAATGTTCTAGAACATATAATAATCTTTCTTAAAACTAAAATCATTTTAATAGTTATGCATGGATTAGGCACAGTTCTTTTGTGATAAAGATAAAAATCATAATCATCGTTCGAAAATAAAAATTATCTTTAACAGATTGTACACATTGACGATTTTGCTATCCATTAAATTAATCTAATTAAAATATTTGAATTCAACATCAAACTCGCAAAAAAGCTTTATTGACAATCTTTTTCTTAAATTATTTTTTGTATTAATCAAGAAAATAATATCATATTATAATAATCTTACTTATTTTAGAATTTTTCTTATTCTTTTGACCCATTTTTTGCTTTTTTTTTAAAGTAACTAAATAATTATCTATTGTACAGTTCAAGGTAATTTGAGATAATAAGTATAAATATCAATGATGATTAAACAATAAAAAAAGAACAGTAGATAAGACAAATTCTTTGAATACCAAAAAATAAAACAAAAAAAAAATAATCTATATAAATATCATGTATATTGTCTAGTCTTTATTAAAATAATATATCGATCACACGGTAAAAAAAATGTAAAATATGCATAAATGATAATATTCGTTTCGGTTGATTAAAAATGCAGGCGTCATAGGTAACCTATATATACAGTGAAGATTTTCTTTGATGAGAAAGCAATTGATATCAAACATTTATACATAAGAAACAAAATGGATGAACAACAAAGAATCGAAAGTGAATTTAATCGTGCTGATTTAAATCATGATGGAACAATTGATGAATTAGAATTTCGACAATTTCTTGGACCAATTATTGATGAAAGAAGATTATCTGGAAATATTAATTATCGAGATCTTCAACATAATGTAAGTTTTTCATTCTCTTATTTAAATAATCTCTCATAGATATAATTATAGCTTCAATCATCAAATGTAAGTCAAACAATCATATATCCAGTTGGCGTTGATGTAGCTTTTGCCGGTTTTACATCAAATCCAATAAATTATGAAAAGTTTTCAGGAGGTATTTACCAACCAGAAGCTCATATATATGGAGTTGGTCCTGATGTTGGTATTGGTGCACCAAATGTTGCTAGAAAAAGTAATCAATATGATCCAGCTGGTGCTATGTTTGATTATGCTGATCTTAATCGTGATGGAAGAATCGATAGATCAGAATTTGGTATATTTATGCGTTCAATGTAAATGTGTTTTTTTTCTAATTAATTTTCTGCACTTGATTTTATTTTTATCAAATTCCTTGGATTCGCATTTTTTGTTTCTTTTAGTTAGCTTCTACGTATTTTTATTAAAAGTGAAAAATATTCACTTATGAAATAAAATTCAAACATCTATGTTTCATATTCATACATTGATTTTTTTTTTTCAAAATAAGAAAATGAACATTCTCTTATGACTAACAATTGAATATATACATTAAAATTTCTGAAAATCAATACAATATAATCAGATATAACGACAATTATTTCAATGTTGTTCTAATGATGAACTATAGATCATTAATTGACAATTCGCTGCAATAAATACAATAATCGAACATTGAACAACCTTGAGTTGTCAATATTCAGAAGGTTAAATAAAGTCAATAAATATATCAATGAAGCAATAGATCAATAATGACAGATAGAAGGTTTAGTTTTATTATGAATAAACAAAAGCTTGTTTTTTCTTCACAAAATAGTCTCGATTAGGTTTAAACGTATTTTGTATTTTGTTTCAAATATATAATCGTTTAAATAAATTGTACTTGAAGATCACATCACATAAATACATATTAGTTAATTATGTCAGCTTTGATTCTTTTTCTATTAAACGATAAATTCTCCCGAACTTTTTAATCAAGTACTTGAACTTTCTTTAAATTCTATTCAAATATTTGTCAATGTAATAAAAATCGATGACAACCAGTGGTTTTTATCAAAACCTTCAGTTACCCCACAGCCAACTATGGTTAGTCGGCGATTTTGTTCAGTTATTTTAAATCATGAAAATTTATAAAACAATCAATGACAAACCCACTCATGATACCGAAAGTTTAACAGCTACTATAAAAAAGGATTTATTAGATCTCTTCTTGCTATATACACATAGCTTTTGTAGTTAATATAGATAAATATTTAGAGGATAAAATAGAGATCAAAAATATTTTTTTTCCTTGTGTCACAAGGTTATTTTTTTGCCTCTTCATTCTATACTCTCTTTTTCTTTCCAACCATAGATTATATGCTGCACTATGCATATGACTAAGTAGCATAAAATTCATTTCATGTTTTACTTACATTCATATGCAGATCGGTAAAGGCTGTAGAATGATTTTCGGACTTTTAAAGAGAGTTGCTCATCGACTTACTAGAAAATTACTCTAAGTAATAAAGCGTTTTTTGAGTTCAAACTCTATGCATAAGACAAATCTAGTGAAGTATGAAAAATCCCAAAAATGATAAGAGCACATAAGCCTTTCCTATAGCGTGATAGTCATTTTACTGGAATTTAAGCCTATAGTGCGGGATATACTAATAAATTGAATGACAGTATTTCGTTCTAAAATTTTCAGCTAAAAGCAATGCTTTCTTCACGAGATATTAGCATTTCTTTGAGCTGGAAATTTCAGAGCATTCTAATTACAAGTAGCAATATCGTCGGGCAAAATACCAGGCCGAAATGATGTCATTTAATTGGTTAGTGTCTATCATGCTATAGGCTTAAATTTCAGTAAAATGACTATAACTTCGTACGGAAGACTTATGTGCTCTTATCCTTTTTGGATTTTTCATACCTCACTGAGTCTACCTTATGCATACAGTTCGACCTAAAAAATGATTAATAACTTGAGATACTTTCCTGATAAGTCATATCGTAACAAAATTCAATTCTAATTTTGAATAAACGATTTTTCCTGTCGACTATATTTAAGCCAAAAAGATCAAATATAGAAGATTTAGATCAGTTGTCTGAATAAAAGATTATCTTTCAATATTTTATGTTGATACATTCTTTTCTATGTTCCATTAAAATTTCTTTTACAATTTGAAGCATTATTATCAATGTTCTATGCCAATAGAAATTCATGAGCAATTATCACGATTCTTCTCTTTTAACATATAAGATTATTCATATATTTTTAAGAATCATACTTAGTTTTTACTATTAATAAGAGTTGATAACTGATTTTTATTTGTTTATTATACTTGTATTGTAAAATGTTTGACAACAGTCTTAAGAACTTGTTGTATACATGTTTATTAAAACCAAAAAGAAAGGACGAATCATATAAACATGACTCTAAATTGATTAGAAGATTATTCTACTTTACCATAATATCACAGTTGCTCATAACAAAGTACAACAGAATTATATATCATATTTTCGTTTGTAAATAAAAAAACATATAAATGAAAATTTCACCAATAATATATCATTGCATATCAAATAAATTACACCAAAGTAAAGAAGATACAACAAAAATTCTAGAAAAAAAATACATATGCATATTATGTAAATTTGTGCTCAATAACAAATAATATATTTCGTTTTATTTTTTTTTCTATTCTATTGGTGTCAATACTTTTTTGTTAGATTATAACATCCGATTAGTGTGCTCGATTAAATTATAAATATTTAATACACCCAGGTCAAGATGGATGTTACGTAAACGGTAGTAAACCAATAAAAAACGGTGACTATACAGAGTCCTGACGATTTTCGTAAACGGAAATCAGTTTACATTGTAAATACAGATACATTACGAGCCGTTTTACAGCACAACTTCCTTAGAAGTGTATACGGCCTGAAAACGAAAAGCGTTTACGCACTGTTTCGAGCCGTCTTTTTCTGTCATTTTAAGTTCGTCGATCGATGTAACTCCGACAGCACATACCTATGAGCAAGATCAATTCATAGAAGCCCCAATAATTTTTCTTGACATTAAAAATAGAGATACTAATCAAAGCTCAAATAAAAATTCTATAGGGCATAGGCGTGTTAGTTTCAATTTAATTTATTTTCAATTTTAAGTTCACGAAGATTTTAATTTAATTATTTATTTTATATTTCACTTTTAAAATTCAAATTCATTTTATACTTTTTTTCTAAAATTAAATTTATTATGTATCTAAATTGCTTAAAGTTCACATTCAATTCAATTCATTCTACATTCTTTTTTATTAAATCAAAATTCATTTTATGGTACATTTTTTAATTCGAAATTTATTATAGATATAAATTTCTGAAATTTTATTTCATTTCATAATTTTTTACAATCAAAATTTATTTCGGATATCTTTTTTTTTGTTCTCAGAATTTATTACATTTTTTTGAACTATAATTCACTATATATTTTATTTTTCTTAAACTAATTTTTTTCATTTAAATTTGCTAAAATTTAAACTCAAATTCATTCTACATTTTATTTTTTCAATGAAAATTTATATGAAAAATTTACATTATATTATATTTCTTTTGTTTGAAATTTATATTTACTTTATGCTTTATGACTTAAAATTAAAATTCATTGTATATTTAATTTATTTTTAAATTGAATGTTCTTATGTAGATTTGCTAAAATTAAAATTCGCTTTATATTCCACTTTTAAAATGAAAATTTATTTTATATTCCATTTTTTAGTTCAATATTTATTGTAAATTTAAATATCCCGAATTTAATATCATTTCGATATTAAACTTTCTTAAAATCAAATTTTTTTTGAACTTAAATTTCATAAAATTTTAATTAATTAATTTTTGTATATTTACGTTTATGATAAATTTAAATTTCTAAAAGTTTATTTTCGAATGGATTAATTTTTTGGAGCTGTAAATGAGAACATGAACTCCAGGTTGCATTTAGTAATAAAATCAATGCTCGAAGGATCGTAATAAAACAGCCGTAAACGAGTACAATTAGGTATATTAACGGTCGTTAACGTTGAGAATACGATGGAATACACATGATGGTATTTCACCCGTAAAGTTTTAGAAAACGGCCAAATACGATCAGTTTACAGTACGGGTACAATACAGGGCGAATTTCTGCGCTAGATAATACGGTTCAATATGGATCGAAAACGAAACTTATTGCATCCGTGTATCTCCGTAAATGCCCCGTTTTTTACAAAATTTTCGGTCCGTTATCGGATCGTTTTGATCGACTTGGGGCACTTTTATTCATATGTAAGTTTTATATTACGAAAATATTCAATTCCAAAATACTGTATATTTCTTATATTTCCACCAAATTTTGGATTCTCTTTAGTGATATCTTCTAATTTTGTTAATATATCACTTGTAAATAAAGAAGTATTTGCTGATGATGACCATGTATTTTTATCAAATATTAATTGGCAACAACTATCATCATACAAAAAATTATATTTTATTGTACTAAAAACTTGCTTTTCAAACAAATATCCATCTTCTAAAGATTCTACTCGATGAGATATACCATATGAAAGATCATTAAAATATGATCGTGCAAATACATAAAAAAACAAATTCATGTATTAAATTTACAACTAGTCTTGTATACATGGTTATCTTTGACCAATTAGGTTCAGGTAGTTTGTTTTTATCTTGATAAATGACATAATTTAATCCAGCTAAACCAAGTACAGATAAGTGAACATCATATACATTTAATTTATTTCTAATTATGTTTAAGTGTTTAATTCAATAATCTTCGTTTATATTCATATTACACTTCTCATTACATATTAGTAACAATAAAGTTTGAAAACGTTTGGAATTCATAATAATATTTTTAAAATATTCTACATGAAAATCATTCGTTATATTATTAATATAAATAAAATTATTATTTCTATATTTAACCATGTCATGATAAATAATAGTATGTAAACGAATATATGATCGTAAATCATATTTATTTATAATATCTTCTATTTGTTCATTATCAACAAACGAACATAAATAACGAAATAATGATAATAATTCAATTCAATTTACATTTTGTTCAAATAATAGTTCGTTATTATTTTCATATTTTAAAAGAGATATTTTTAATGTTGTTATAAATACATGAACAATTTCTTTTATTACTTGCATTTCATCAATTATATGATTGTGATTATAATAAAAACTTATAATTTTTCCCACTATCCATTGTAATAGACGATCGATATTTTGTAACGATATTTCTTTTATATGGTAAAAATATGTTACCATTTATTAACATTATATTAGAGCTTGCGCATTGTAATTCAATATCTATAGTTTCATCATGTGATTTAATTTTTGAAATTATATGCTCTTCATTATAAATATATTTTAACAAAGTATTAAAATCCATTTTATTTTCTTTTTATATCTAAAATACAAAAAAAAACAAGTTTATTCATTAAGATCAGTAACTTATAAACATTATCTATACAATTGATTTTTTTCATACTCCTCGTCATTTCGCAATACAAGTCAAATGCTATATACGTTTCAGTATATCGTCGTGTATTCTGCTTTTGAACAAAGTGGAAAGCAAAGACGTCATGTTGAGTTATTTTTCGTTGTGTAACGTCTAGTCATTGTGGTTTTTTCTATTGTGTTTTCTGTGATCACTATATAAGAAAAATAGATGATGGCACTTTAGTCCGTTTCGTGCAAATATACCATATCTATAGATGACGTCAATCTACTATATACAAATATTTTGTGATAATAATAACTCTATATATATGAGAATACCAATTTTTCTGAAACTCACGTATATTTTCGAAGAAAATAGTGAGTATAAGTTTTAAGTTCAAGTTTTTGTGGCTCCTTTCCTTTTCCTCTCCATTACAGATACATAGTAGCGTAGGGTCTCATTACAGACACCTCTGTTACAAACATCCCGTCCCCACTTCCCATTACAGACTTCCGCAATCGTGTACAAAAGGTTTCACGTTTATTTAACAATAAAAAAAAGAGTTGATCAGTATGCAATATATGAATCTGACTGCTACATAATATTTCAATACTTTCATAACTATTTGAAAAAAAAAATATTATACATTTTTTAGAGTTCTTAATAGTGTAATCGTTGATTTTCTTTAGAATTTAAACTTGTTTGTTAAAAATCAAGGATGAAGAGTAGTAATATATATTGATCTGTCATAGCACTCATATAATCAACATGAGAAGCATGATTCGATCTTTTTATCAGTTTGAAAAGTAAACAATATCACCATTTAGGGATTCATTGAAGTATATAATAGTGTGGTAAGAGCTGCTAATGCATATAAACTGCATTATTATAATAGTTTTATTCATGAAATAGTCTATGGTGAAAAAAAAGAATAATTTCAAATTACAAAAAACAAAAATATGACGATTATCGAGTATTTAGCAACAATTATGAATGAAGTCGAGGGATCTCAAACGAAACAGACATTATCAGTTTAAAATGTAGAAATAAATAATAAATTCTCGCTTTTGTCATCAATTATTAGTGAAAATAACTATAGTCGACAAGAAGTTTTTCAGTTTGCAGATAATGTATTAGGATAATAAAGTTGAAGCATGTACGTGAGTTCCACATTTTAGCTCCAAAGGAGTTGTGCTAACGAGCTTTTTTATAACAAAAAATAAGATAAACTGAACGAGAAACAGCCAAAGACAAACAATAATCCATTGAATTTTGAAAAGTGCAAAAACATTCTAGAAAACACAACAGAAAAAATGAAGACTAATTGAGCAGTCAGAACTACTGAAGAAAAAAAAACGAAAATAAAAGCAAATGGTGAACATCTATCGTTCATTTATGATCATATATCTTGTGAAACACATGTAACAGCAAAAAATTCATGATGATTGCTTTTTTTAAAAAGCTTAATGTCACAAATTTTGTCAATTCTATCCCAATAAAAAATTGTAATACTCATTCGGGGATTCTTTTTTTAAAAAAAGAAGTAATAAATTACTTGAACACAATCATATTCCCATGTTGACACGATGAAATCCATAACAATAAGAGTTCTTCACTGCTGTTCGTATTCTTTCGATTCGTCCGTTATTGTTTTTAGATGGCATATTAATATGAGTCTATCTATTAAGAGTTACTAAATATCTTTTTTTAGTCATTTGAGTAAGTAAAAATGGAAGCATATTTTTCAATGGAGATGATGATACACAATATTGCCCCGTTTGACACACATCATGTGTAATGAAATTGATCAGAACATCGACTTCGAGTGCACCTTCACCATCGTCGACGATTTTCTTTCTTTTCGTGATATCAGTCGCTTCAAAAAGATCGTTGAAACTACTGCCAAAATAAAGGATAACAACAGCTGTCCTGTCTGTATAGTTGATAGAATTTGTATTTGTATACAATGGAAAAGAAGCATATATCTAAAAGGAAAGAGAGCGTTGTCTGGGTCTAGATGTGAGTGTAGGTGTGATTTTATGATTCTTTCTTCATCTACACTCACAGACAAACAGTCATCGCTATGTACAGCAGCTACACAAAGTTCTTCGCTAGCCGTCTTCTAACTCAATTCATCACACTTCTTAAAAATGGATGCAATGAAGTTCAGAATTCCAATTTCTTCTGTAAGTCTTTATAACTCTTCTAACTCATTAAAACATTTGATTCTTTTTTCAGTATATTCTTTGTTTTTGGCTTTTTTGTACTTCCAAATTTATCCTTTTGCTTGCTGTACTATTAGGATGTGGATGTGAGTCATGGTCGAGAGCAGACCATTAAACACACGCACATGCACACCCCACACTTGTTTTCAACAAATTTTTTGTTAGTCATGAGTGAACTTTTGGGAATAGATGGGGTAACAGTTGGTACATCTGTGGTACAAATTTGAACCGAACAAATAAACTGTGCCGTTAGTTGGAACGAGGAATATATTGAGTCTTCCTTTGCTGACTATCAGAATATTTTATGCAGAATAGAGGTTTTTGCCTGACAACGAGCAAAACATATGACAGAAAAAGAAAGAAAGAACAGAGAGTAACTTACATTGTACGAGTCATTTTGAGCAAACAACAAAATTGAATCTTGACAGAGGCAATTGTTGTTAATAGTGCATGCGAGTACATTCTTCAGCAACAATGTGGAGATCAACAAACAATTAGAATCGTCGAGTCTAGAATACCTGATTTGGTATCTCCGTGTTGGTCTCAATTCAGTAAACAAATCCATAAAATTTTTTATCAGTAAGAAATTTTTTTTTGTAGATGAAAATTTGTCCTATATTTGATGAGCCTTCAATAAGAAGTCATCAATTTATTGGATAGAATTGGCATTCATCTTATACTCGCCATGATTACTTCACGAAAGTGTTTCTTTTTCTTTAAGCTTCTTTTACTTGGTACCGACTTAAATTTCATGTCATATAGCAATATTGCGTCTCTTATCGTCGACTATCACGATATTTGATAGCCTCTCCTTCAAAACAAAATCTCTTTGTCTCAAATTCGATTCCGATGAAATTTTCAGCAAGTGTTGAGTACTCAACAGAGTGATCACAAAAAATTTTTTAATACTCTATCTGTTATCACTCACTAGATTTAATAATCCAAGGTGAAAAAACCAATCTTCACTGTAACATTCTTCTTCTTGATATAGCTCAAGTTAAAGATGTTGGTTTTAAACTAGTTACCTAACTGCAAAGTCTTTTCTTAATTTTTTTGAGATGCACGATGTTTAAAATCTTTCGAAGATCATTTCAACTTTTCTAAAGTTTTCCTTCTATGAAGACAAATTAGTTTTATTGAAGGAGCTTTGAATTCTACATAAACTGATGGAGATCAATTTGCTAATTTAGGTCTAAGTTCCTTAGAAAAAAAAGAAACTTTAGGAAACCGGAAGGACTCTTTCATGAATTTCGAGCATCTTGAACCTCTAGACAAATAACAAAGATCCCTATTAGAAATCAGATCCCTTTCAACCTTACGAATATGTGCCTAGTTCAAAATCAATAACTTTAACTTGAGATATATCAAAAGAAAAGGATATTACAAGAAAGGGTGGTTTCTGATCTGCCACTCTAGAAAGCTGTGGAATCGGGATCGAGATAGCTGAAAAAATGTTATGTCTAACATTTGTGGAAAGTTTGGCCAAAGTTGAACGTGAGAAAAGAATTTGATTCTAATGGTTCTAGGGATTCGTGGTGCTAGGTACAAAATAGCAGTCTTGCCTGAGAGACAATGAAAAACTTCCTAGAGCAGAAGAAAAGACAGGAAAGAGTGCATCTACCACCCTTATGTCTTGAAAAAATGGGAAATTAGGCACACTATTTCATCCAGAACTTCCTGGGTAAAATCCATGATAGCTATGCTTTTAGAAAATGTTTTTGTCTTATATGTATTTATCATAGTTTATAGGGAGATGTAAGATTGAGTTTTCAATCTCATAGAATATCTTGAATATTTTCATATCTTTTATTGGATTTAGACTAGGTACGTTTTCCAATGTATAGCCAACGATTAGATGCCTTTCGGGGTAGCTCTCGAAAAATTAATTCAACTTTTTACAAGAAGAAGAATCTAG